ACCCTGCGACTGCGCGGGACTAACGCTAGGGAGAAGAAGAAGAAGATAGTCAGTTGTTGTATGGGCGTGTTAGAATACGGCTCGCGAGTCCACGATCCCCACTGAAGCTTCTTAAGTTTTTGCCCTGTTGACCATGACTTTTTTCATTTGGTGATGATCCACACTCAAACCACCCCGTGACTGGTAATTTCGATGCTCTACCTGACGCCACTATAACGCATCCTGGCAGACCAACCATTATTTGCCAGAGTGCTTCCAATGTACTCGAATGACAATGCTGAGATATGTCCACAAAGAGGTAAGGATTTGAAAACATGGAGTTTGTATCTCATAAGCTCATCAGCAGCTGACAACGTCATGTGCCTCCTCTTCTTCCCACAGTTCCTTTCTTCGATAACCCAGCATATTCACCGGTGATGTGGGCTGAATGCAGTGCGCTAACAAACACAAAGCCGTAGTAGCCTAGTTTAAACATTCGAGAGTTCTGATAACAGAGCACAACCTCCTCTCCTCTACTCGGCCTTTTGGGATGCTGTTGGAACACGAGAGGGGCTTTGCGCTAGCAACTGACGCCAATATCAACGCTGAGGACAAATTTCAGCAGATTGATGGTGACGTATTCAAATTGAACACCAAGCACCAATGTAGTTTGCCCTTTTCTGGAATCATTTAACCTCATCCTGCGAAAATAAATCGTAAGAAGTTGGAGAGATTCGGGTCGACAATTCCCTCTGCTACGCTGTGTAATCGAACCTCGTGGCAACGAACGACTACTTTTCTGAATCTCTAGCTCTCTTCCTTGAGAAGAAATTTAACGGATAAGTGACATGATCTCAAAACCGACGTCCGATCTTTCTTACGTCAAGTGTCCATGGAGTTCCTGAGAAAAGGAAGAAAGCGAAAAGTTCTTCATGAGTAGCCAATCTTTTGTGAAATAATAAAGGCGCATCTGAATGAGTAATCACCTTAGATAATCAGCAAAATGTTAGCACGCGAAAACTTTTTTCTGATGGTAATCGAAAATGTCTCGAAACTCGTTTCGTCATCAGGCACAGTGACATTGTTTTTTGCACACAGTTAGTCACCAAATGTCAATGATGGGCAAGTGCGAAAGCGACTGGTTGCCAAATTCCTGTCCAAGAGGAACAAGAGAATAAAGGAATTTTATAAGCTATTTGACATTTTCAAAGAGGATGACTTTCCTGCAGTAAGTGACATGGATAGCGAAGCTCAAGGCCGATAGGAAAACCCTGCCCCTCAAAGCCATTTAGGCCCCCATGTGCTGAGACAAAAATGTTATCTACTAGCGAGCCGAGTGCAACAAAACAGCGGCAAATGCCAGTATTACCCTCACTTCGGCGGTTTTGATGACGAATTCGATCAAAAACAAAACACAGCGCTTCACACAGCGCTCTAAATTCCAACTTTCGATTCACAATCTCGCGTTTTAAGGAAGAAATCTTTCAATCTATCCATCAGCCCATTATGAGGAATCAGCTTCTGGTGACTACATCCCGCTCGGTGATCTGGTCCTCGAGCTTGAGGCTCAGCGAAAACAATGTTGTTCGAAAAACGTTATGGAGATTTGGGTTTGATGACCTAATGAACTTGAGCTCTAGACGTGAGAAAAGCATGAAGCAGCATTGGATAGTTGCTTTATATCGTGGCAATGTCTGCTCTGTTCTGTCTGTTTTTAGTACTCCGGAAATGTTTGTGTGACAACAACTTTAGTGCACGCTGAAGGACGAAGTTTGCTGTATTCTTCTCGGAACTGTTTTCATGAATGGATGACGTCGAATCGTCGAATGAAACAACAACAAAGAGAATTTCCCTTCACTATCAATCCATTTCAATGTTTTCACGCTTTTGTTCATCCAGAAACACAACTGTTTACTTCGAATCCGTAGTTATTGATATCAACGTATTCCCTCGAGGTAACATTTGTGCCAGCACTAGATTTTCTTGAATGGCACGTTATACATTGTCCCAAACAGTGACTGTACAAAATTTCTTTCAGAACAGATCTTTCTTTCAGAGAGATCTTTTTTATGAACCGTAGAGAAGGCCGTTGTTGCTCTTAAATATAATGTTTAGGATGGCAAGACTACTTGGCATTGACTTCTCACCGCTTACGGAGCCATGGGATAAGAAACTTCAAGCGCTGGGCGTCGTTATAGTGTTCACAATGTTTTTCCCTATGGTTGCAGTGGGTGTCGCCCTACCCTTCATTCTGGTAATTCATTATTTGTTTGATATGTTTTATTTCACCTATATGTTAAGGAGCAACAGCAATCCAAGGCACTAAGCCAGTTTCAGCTACTCATGTATCAATGGCACTTTCTGTTCCTGTACATATTATGGTATTTGTATGATCGAAATTCACCCCAAAACGGCGGCTACGAAAATCGTTGGATGAGAGGGTTTGCTCTGTTCTTTCCAATTGGATATGTCAAAAATCTGGCCTATATCAGGTGGAGATACAACGAGTGGTTCCTAGGGTACTTTCCATCAACTGTTCACAAAACAGCTGAGCTTCCTCCTGATCGGGTAAGTCAGACTCAGCGATCTATTCAGTGAGTTCAGGCTTGAATGGCATGCTCAGTTATTAAAGTACTTCAGAGCGCAAAAAGTAAAAAAGTATAAAATTATATATATATATGTATTACCGTTCTCCGGGTTTCACTGGATAAATTTACACAGTTGGAGAAAAACGCTACGATATTGTATTCCAATAAATTATCTGATTGACCTGCTGCCACTCACAACAAAAATACTCAGCGCCGTTCGAGTACCCCATTCGAGAAAAAACGCTTTCAAAGCAGTCACTGCGCGGGGAGCTCTTCAATGAAACCAGTCAGTTCAACAACGGAGACCTTCCGATATCTCTTTCTTTTTAAGAAAGCGGCATCAAAGAACAGCTGCGCGGGTTCACCAATATCTAGGTTCTCGATGAAGTATCCTCATAACATTAGGTTGGCCATAAGTCTAGCAACATATTACACCTATTGCTAGAGTATTTTTGTGAGAACTCCAAGAAATCCGCAATGTTTGTTTACGTAGCATCCACCTTTGCAATTTCAGCCAACCATCCAGCTCGTTGTCTCGCTACTTGTTATGGATATTACATCGATTTCGCGAAAAGGTCTTCGTGCCCATAATTTTTACGAGTACTGCTTGGAATGTTCCGCAAGTCATGCTAGACCAAGGATTAGCCAGAAGATGGGCGAGGGCACGCTCTCTCAATTCACGTGCACGGCGCTTCACTCTGCTCAGCGTTGACTTTTTTATTTGAAGATATCCACACCAACCACCCTGTGACTGACAATCACGATGCTATATCTGACGCTGTTGAAAAGGGATCTGGATAGAGTATCGATCATTTGCTAGAGCAATTCCGATGCGACAGTCAGGCGCTACTGACATCTACAATGACTTGCAAAGATTCGAAAATATAAGTTTGGATTGTGCATGTCTTGAGCCCAGATCAGCTCCATACAGAATCTGGCATCGTCATATTCAAGGCGACTTATTATGGATTCTTCCGATTGACCATCCATCACATTTGTCCGAAGATGAGAGGAGGCAGTGTGCTAACAAATGAACAAGCGGCGGTAGTCCAGCTCAAACGCTTCGGGAGTTCTTACTGCTAAAGTTCAACCTCGTCCAAGTAGGGCCTTCTCGGATTTTTGGTGGAACACGAGAGGAGTTGCTCTGGAAACCCTTCGTGTAGTCGCAGTCAACGCGGAAGTCAACTATCCACAGCTCGATTGCAACGCTTTCAATACGAAAGAAAAACAAGGCAAAGTTTGCTTTTTTATGACACCGTTGAACCACCTCTTGCTAAGAAAATCCAGGAAAATTTTGAGACTCTGGACGGAGAGTTCTTCCGTATCCACCTTATAGCCCTGACCTCGTGCCAAAGGATGCCCACCTGCTTCCCTCTCCAGACCACGTCCTAGAGAAGAAATCTCATCATGATGTCAAAATCGACATCTGATCTTTCTTCGATCAGAATTCAGCGGAGTTCTACAAGAGAGGCATCGAACAGCTTCTAGTGCGTTGGCAATAGGTTGTAGATATTGATGGTGTGTAGCATGCTGGATGAATGGAACAAAAAGATAATAAAAATATTAAAATTCAAAATTTAGCCAGTTTGTTGCAAGACTTATGGACCAACCTAATATATAATATGCACAACCACTACCCTGGCGTTTAAAACGCGATCTGTATTACACGATCTACAGTAATACCAGAAACCAATCAATATCCACTTATTGCCACAAATCGATCAAATAAATAAAATCATGAATATTTCTCGTTTTGAACATTGAAAACGACCTCATGGAATTACTGGTCATTTTGTCATAATGACGTCCAGTAACTGTAATATGTAGACGAACACGGTGCTTTGGAAGGATAGCTATTATTCTTGTTTCGTTCTAGGCTGAAGGCTTTACCATGATTGAGTTGTCGTAAAAGCATTCACATCTAGAATTGTGAACAAAAAGTCGATTAAAGGAAATAGATCACACACCTTCACAATTAAAGGAAAGCTCCAGGATGTTGTGGCTCTTGCACACGAATGCGAATGTATTGGTGCGAAATGGGCCGGCAGTGAAGAAAAAAGGAAAAGAATCCGTCAAAACGCTTAGGTTAAGGGCTCACTCACCTTCCTAATCGGCTGTGCTAAGGGAATGAGAGACTAACGGAGAGGAGAGTATGAGGCGAGAGAGCGCTACAGATGAGAGAGCGCCAGACAACAGCCTGATAAGAGAAAAAATCTGCAGCTTCAGCAGCTTACTTTGCAAGGCCCAAGCGCTCTTGTCGGTTGGTTTCCGTGCACGGGAACGCCACATTTGTGATTGTCCTCTAGGGGTCTATACTACAGACCGAAGGGAAGCGTTCACACGACCTCTGCCTGGGTTGTGCCTTCAATGACCGCTGGAGTGCAAAGTAATACCAAAGAACTTATGGGTTATTTCATGCCGTGTTTGTTGTTTCAGAACTACCTCATTACATGTCATCCACACGGCGTAATTAGTTTTGGATTGTACGCAGCCTTCATAAGGGAGATAACTAGCAACAAAAGCAGGAAGGTGAGTGTTCTGCTACACACATAGTCGGTGTTTGCTGAAGTGTTTATGTGTCGAGAAGTGTCGCAGCAATGGTGGGGTATTATTTCTTGCTGCGATATGGTGAAAGCTGTGAGAAATGGATGGAGGGCTATTGGTGACAGAAAATGATAGCAACTGATAAGCTCATTCACATTCACCTAATTTGAAGGGTGGGACGCACGCATGGTATTGGATGATAGGAACCGTCAACAGCGGTCCTACTTGCTATACCGTGCGTTTGAGAGTAAAAGATTTCACCCATATCTACAGGGGTGGCCAAAAAAGAGACACTTTGCCCATGGCGCACATCATCAAACTTTTCGTCGCACAGGGTGCCGCTGTTGATGAAAGTTTTACGGCAAATATCCCTTAGATGTCCTCCATAAGTAGAAGCAGGCCCTCCTCCACTGCCCTCACCGTCCTCAAAATATGACGTCATCTTCCATCACCGTTGAGCTCAAGAAGGCCTAAAGTAATCGCTCCAGCCTGAACTGCAACAAAATTTCTTCAAACTGACGGAATGATTGCGAGGAACAGTGGCCTTAAACATCAAGACTCCCTCCGACTAGCGTTTTAGATTACGTCGTAATGGTCCATGGTCCATCGAGGACCACGTTGAGCTCGAAGATGCACAAGTTCCCATGGCAAATTCTTGTGATGTCGTTGGTGTAGAAAGCTGTTATAATAATTATTGATAGATGAGGATGTGCTCTTTCACCAAAAGTTGGGAGCAGCGGTTTGAGCTCAGCAGTGTGGTTAATGCAGTCTGAAATGGATGAAGTGTCTCTTTTTTGGCTACCCCTCTATATTGAAAGGGAAATATAATAGATAGGGACTGGGTGTCACCAATGATTCCCGTAGGTCTTTTTCTGTGTCTCGTTGCACAGATTCATATTGTTACATAACTAAGTACATAAGTAGGATGGAAACACTGACGACTGAGTGATAGATTGAGAAATGACAGTTGTTAGGAGAAAACAGTTTATTCAGTACACCGCTAGGAAAACGACTATGTAAGCCAGTACCCAAAATCCAGCAGAACTATTTACTTCTTATTTTGGTGTCATTAAAAACGACAATTATGTTCTTAGATGCTTGTTGTGTGTGCCGTACGAGGTTGATAAGTGGAACGTTTTAGAGCCGCCTTATGTTTTGACAGAATCATAATCTCTGGA